ATATTTATTATATAATATTATATAATATTTATTTTATTATGTAATATCTTTTAATTTAAATTTTTATATAACATATAAATAAAAAATCTATTCCATTTTGTTGAAACAAAATGTGTTTCAAATCAAAAGTTTTTACTCTTAAAATCTTCAATTTTTTTTATACGGAAGTTGTCGACATTTTTTAAAGGCGAAATTTAAATTAATGAGAAAATAATTAGACAGAAGAAAGTGCGGTGAACCTGAAAATTCATCATTGTAAATCGTGGTATACAAGAGAGGTGATGCTGTCTGTAATCTATTGACCGAGAGTAAAGCCGCGCTCTCTCGCACGGATGGAGAGGAGGAGCTCAGCTGGCCGACTTCTTCCTTCTCTCCGATACGACACGCTTATCCACCAACCCGACGACCGTCCAGTTTTCTCGGTCACGGCTGCACGAGGGGGAGATCCTGTGTTCCTACATTATCCCCACGTGGACCACGCGGGGAGGCCCTTCGTCTTTTACCACCACGAGAGAGCTGACGTTTCGCGCCAGTTCAAAGAGCAGATTGGCAGCAAGTGGATTTGATTAACGAACATCGGCACCGAGAGATCCTTCTCGAAGGAGGTCGTTCATATTTGGGTTTGATTTGTTTTTGAGAAGGTTCCGCAAGCATAATCTGCGGAAATACACGATATTTGTGAAGAAAATATTTTTGTTGAGTGTTTAATGATATTGTTTTATGATAGTGTTGAGAGATTGATAAATATACATATAATTGCAGTGGTAGTGATAGTGAAATCCGGGATAATTGCAAATCAGTTGATACTAAAACTGTTAATGAGTCTTAGTGGTTTGTTAGGATGAGAATTGGACAGTCGTGCTGGGTGTTGCTGGTAAGATTAATTTTTTTTCAGCGATATATTTAATTTTAATTTCTTTTAATGTTTAAAAATAGTGAAATTTCTTGTTGCTTTTCTCTTAATTATCCTCGTTAAATAATCCTTTAGATTTTTAGATTTTAATATTTTTAATGTCTATCTAATCGTGCAATTATTCAAACGAATGCACAAGGAATTTTAATAATAATTACAATAGTTTTATATAAACCATAATCTAAATTTTCTTTTTTAAAGTAACATATTTAAGTCAATGAGATAATTATAAGGTTATTAAAGATAATTTAAAAATGAGATAATTACAATGTACAATCATTAGTATTTCTTTATCATAATTGAATTTAAGATAATTAATACTGCATTTAAAAAAATTAAAAAATTAATTGTATTAATTGTTGAATTCAAAAAAAGTTTGATTTGCTGTTTAAATGAATGAATGAAGTTTCTGATTCCTTCAGTTTCTTGACCGTACGATGTCAGTTTACTTGCTCCAAAGTGGAACAACCTTTGTCGCGACCTTGATCCAGTCGTTCACTGGAATGAGGAAAAGTAATAGATACTTCGCACATGCACTGGAATACCGAGTTCGCTCTCGCGCGAGAATTTGCGAAAGGCTCTTCATCAATTCGATAAATATGGAAACTGACTCGAAATACCTGTCACGAAATGCTCAAACGCAGTCACGCGATTCTGCTCATTGCCGAAGAACCTATTGAATATCAGCGAAATCGTCTGTTCGTGTCGATAATTATTGGGTCGTTACGATTATAAAATGACCGGCAAGATAGGTCTTTAATCTTAATAGGTCTTTAATCTTAAAAGAGGCATGTAAGAATATATTATAAAAAAGAACGGCAACTTAATTAAATTTCTCTTATATTCTTATTTTTACACGAAAAATGTTTGATATATTTGTAATTATAATTATAATTATATGATAAAATAATTCCGGTTAGTAGATTTGTTATTATTTCTATAATATTAGTAATAATATAATATATAATATATAGTAATTATATTTACATTAATAATTATATTTAAGAAGTGTATAGTTGGCTTAGAAAATGACTATAATTTATAAAAATAGAATTGCTATCATAATTATTTTACTTTATAGCAGTTATATTCACAAATTCCAAACGCTTTTCTTTTAACGTCTGGCCAAATTCTTTATTCTCCAATAATAAGTGAGAGCAAAGGACTGAATCTTTGATAAAGATAAAAAAATAATCGATTTCTCTTTCTTTCTCGTGCAATTTCTAACTTTTACAAATTTGCTTAGAAATACTGTTCAGTTTTACACACATTTCATCAAAGTAAAAAGAAATACATTTTTAATAACTGAATAATTATTGAGGCATTCTTCGTATTAAAACTGAGAAGTGGGTTCTCTTAGAGTTGAAGGCGTATATTGCATCGCGTGCATTATATAGTTAATACATTCTCACATGCGTGTATAGTTGCTATCCTACATTTGTTGCTCGATCGTATTTTAGCGAAACTAAGTTGCCTTTATTATAGTATCGAGAAGAGATATTCTCGAATATATGAAATGATTTTTGTTCCATTTGATCACAATAAGAAATTAATAAACGTTAATGATAAGAATATCCGGCCGATTTACTACTACTACACTGATGAAACTTAAGCGCCAATAAATTTAATATTCCACCTATTCATTAATACGTCAAATATAAATTTAGTCTTCATAGTTAATGACTAGCTTTCAATATAATTATTTCTCATTCATAATAATTAACTCTTTATCTGAAAATAATTAAATTGGAGAATAAATTCATCAAATCGCGTTCAATTAAAAGTTTCTGAGAATCAACTTGAATAAAACTGATGGTTATTTACTTTCACTGAAAATCCATATCTTGGCACACAAAAGTGATATACATATAAATTACGTATATTGAAGTTATCAAGTCAAGTCTCATATTTATCGAAGCATAAAATCTGCATAATACTTTCGCGACGTATGTAGTATGTTAAGAAGCTTCTTTTTCGATGATTGCGTAAAATCGCAATGCGATCTCTTGCAACCTGCGAAAGCTCATTGTAGCCACTACGTTTCCGGTGCAACGAACGTAAACTTCGCAGCTGACATGTTTCTCCGGACGGGCTTCCTCCTCATGAAAAAAAGAAGAGGAAAGATCTCTTGCGCGATAATCGGTCCACGCTCTTGGCAAACAAGAGAGATACGTGTAACGTAATTTACGCTTCCTTGAAGTTCACTCGCGACTATGTATAGCGGCTTTGCACGCTCGTTACGATTGTTCTTTCCGGAAGTTGCATTTTATTGTCTCCCCGGCGCTGAACCACACACGCCGTTTTCACTCGCGATTCAATTAAATCTCGCGCGCGACGTCCACTAATTATATATATTAAAGTTAATTAACATTCTACTTAATTCTCTCTCGCTTATGAAAATTTATATTTTTGATTCGCATCAATCGCGCCTTTCTAGGCAACTGTGTTAATTATAATTTACCGTATTAATAAGATTTAAATAACATCCTCTTAATACTTCTGAGAATTAATTAGACAGGAAGAGTAATAATGCATAATGTAATCCTAGAGTTATTAATGCGCTGCATATAATGCTTAAAGAGATGTAATTATTAAATTATTAAATCTATTAATATTATTAACAGTAATTAAGAAAAATTATCGCAATATGCGGCCTGCAATTTTTTATTTAATAATATTAAGTAAATTAATTTATATATATATA